TTTAAATTACTAACTTGGAATTTGTTAACAAAGGAAAAACTCTAAAAATCAAAAAATAGGACCATTCTGTACTAAAACAAATGTTGTGTTGCACAGACTACTTCAGGACTGTTTTCTCATTGAGGAGAACAGAAAATGAAAGCTAACTGAAGTAAAAAAAAAATAAAAAAAAATCATATGTTTCTTTTCATGGAGATACTTATTGCTTTGTATATGACAAAACATTCTAATACAACATGACACCTAGAATACAGTGCATACTTTAGTAATTTGCTCTACTAGTTAAATATTTTGTTATATTTTCCCCTATGTTTATGCAACATATACAGGTTGCTCAGAACTTGTACCTGCCAGCAATATATCAGATCATCACTATCACATACCTGGGTCAGAAGAGGCCTGAAGTGGATTCTCACAGGACTTGTTTCCATAAACCAGAATTAAGTATTTCTAGCAACGGTGATTTCACAGCTAGCCTTAGCAACTTCCTTTATCCAGTGTTAACTAATATTTAACCTGGCTGCAGCCTAACCTTTTCACATGTTTTTGTTGCAGTAAATGAAAACACATGATCTCTTTTATCTTTCTTTTTTATTCTTTAATTATTTCCTTTTCAGCTATGATGTTTTTCCAGCTGTCTTGACCTTCACACATAAATCTTACATTTGAAAATTTTGTTCTGAAGTAATACTAACTTAAATTTTCTCACACTGAAAAAAGGAAAAAAAGAAAAAAAAAAAGATTGAAATCTTGCTTGAATTTCTCCTGTTAAGTAACACATGAGCTACAATTCTATTCAGATTCCCGAGTCTTCATTTAGGTTTACTTGGCCTTCAGGTTATACAGCCTCCAAAGTCAATAGAGTCAAGAGAGTCTATTTTCCCTTAATGCACTGCCAATGTGTAATGAATTGCCTAAGTTACAAGACTTGCTCACCTGAGAGACTAATAAATGACACCTGGCATCTTTTGTAATTCAAGAATCTTCTAAATCCAAGAAAGCTGCAGGAATCAAGCTGGGATGTTTCAGAGAGTGAAAGGTTGCAAAGAAAAGGCAGCAGCAGCAAGATTACATGGAACCAGCATACACCAGCAGACTGGACAGAAGGAAACCTTACCTGGGGCAGTTTTTGTGATGTGGGGGTAAAGCTCAAATGTGCAAGGTGTGCATTATGCCCCTCCTGACCAACCACACCTCCTCAATCTTGCTCACACTTACAAATGTGAGGTTGCAGTTTGATTTCAGAGCTGGTAAAATGGTAAATGGCACTGAAAGGGGAGACTTTTTGTCAGTAACTCACCTGACCTCTACAAACCAATTTTCATCTGGTTCAGGCCTAAGGCAAGAGGAGAAAGAGCACTGGTGGAAAGAAACTTGGGAACACACACAGTGAAGCAAGGTAGCTTTCTGTAGCAGGTATCTGTTAAATCAGCTTAGCTTAATATTAAACTATGGCTTATGGCACTATTGACTTAGAAAACAACCAAAGGAAAAGACTGATGAAGGTACATACTAACAAAGTGCCTATCAGCTAAATAGAAAAAAAAAAATAAAATCTACTGTTTGATGAATGGATACCTGCTACCACAGCATTGAAAAGAAATGCTAGCATGTAAAAAGAAGGGAAAGAGGGAAAGAGCCAAAACTTAAGTGGGGGGCAGGTGGGGAGGAAGGACAATCCAGAAAAAAACAACCCACAGTGTTTTGTGAATAGTGCTAACAGAAGGAAGGTATTAAAATTGCAGATGATACCTAGCTGTAGGTAACTTCACATAAAACAAGGACTGGACTTTAAGCTACTTTGGCCTGTGTGTATTGAAGCTTTTCAGGAGTGTGTGAAGATTACTAGAACAACTATGGTTCCTTTCCATCATAGTGGGTCTTCATGAAAGAAACCATGTTGCTTGCTTTCCCACCATAGCTCTTCCTGCACTATGAATTCTCTCTACAGGTTGTTTACAAAACCCCAAGATTCCCGCAAGCCAAAATGAGTTTAAGAGCCTTATAAGAACAGTGGTGCAACCCAGAACCTAACAGAAGATTGAGAAAAAAAAAATTACAGTTTCATATTATTTGTAGAGTTTTGGGTTTTTTTAAGACCACAAGAGGGTTGTCTGTAATAATATATTGTTCAAATTGCTGTACTTTGTACACCCAAGCACTGGTTCTGCTGAATGGGGTTAAAATGGATAACAGTCTTAAAATATCAGTGATACCAGAGCAACTGAATTGGGGCGGCATGCACTTTAGGATTGTAGTGCAGATTGAATTTTTGTGATCCGCTACAGATAAGGACAAAAATGTTCTGCTTGACTAAATGTACCGCCCAATAATGAACACAATGCCACTCAGAAAAATGTCTACCCAGCACAGACTACTAAATGAGAAATTGGAGGAAATAAATAGAAGGAGGGGAAAAAGGGAATTTGAAAAGCCTGCAGTACTAGTATGATACAGTGACTGTTTAACATCACCTTACAAGCCAACAAGAGCAAGTCAGCATACAGGAGTAACAAGGTCCAGAGAATGGGACACTGGGGTTTCTTTCAGAACAGCCTGAACATGATTGCAGTTTGTTTGTAACAGTGTAGCACTTAGAGAAAAGACTGAATTTCATGATGGTAGAGATCACAAAGGCATAAGCGGACTGAACACGAGCAGACAATGTGCGCTTGCAGCCCAGAAGGCCAATAACCGTATCCTGGGCTGCATCAAGAGAAGCGTGGCCAGCAGGTCGAGGGAGGTGATTCTTCCCCTCTACTCCGCTCTCGTAAGATCCCACCTGGAATACTGTGTCCAGTTCTGGAGCCCCCATCACAAGAGAGACCTGGAGCAGCTAGAACGAGTCCAGAGGAGGGCCACCAGGATGATCTGAGGGCTGAAGCACATCTTCTATGAAGACAGGCTGAAAGAGTTGGGGCTGTTCAGCCTGGAAAAGAGAAGGCTCCGGGGAGATCTTACAGCAGCCTTCCAATACCTGAAGGGGGCCTACAGGAAAGCTGGGGAAGGACTTTTCATAAGGGCAACTAATGACAAGACAAGGGGAAATGGGTTTAAACTGAAAGAGGGGAGGTTTAGATTAGATATTAGGAAGAAGTTTTTCACTGTGAGGGTGGTCAGACACTGGAACAGGTTGCCCAAGGACGTTGTAGGTGCCCCCTTCCCTGGAAGCGTTTAAGGCCAGGCTGGATGAGGCTTTGAGCAACCTGGTCTAGTGGAAGGTGTCCCTGCTGATAGCAGGGGGGTTGGAACTAGATGATCTTTAAGGTCCCTTCCAATCCTAACCATTCCATGATACGGGTTTTACTAGCTTGTTTTTCAGCACTCTTTGCTTTGATTTTTGCAGCTATTAAAAATGCTGTAAGAATCTTTAGAGTATGACCAGCTATAATGTTAGTGAGACTCGCACTTCCTATAGCCTAAGGAGTAGTGCTTTTGTGACAGTTGGCATTTAATTTCCTAAGTAATCCCAAAGACAATCCCAGGAACATCACTCAAATTGGCGGCATACACCAGTTCTGCTTGGGTTTTGTGAGTGCTTTTGTAATATGAACAAGTGAATTAAGAAGCATGAAGTACTGTGGAAAGCCTTGATCTGTGGTAGCAAGGAATAAATTATGCAAAGACGACAACACTAAAGGATATCACCAGTTCATTCTATAGTACCACAAGGATGCTCGTGCTTAAATTCAGCAATGAAAAAAATAGGTGTCATCTCTACATTCTCAGCTCTCTCTGCAGCCATGAGGAGAGATAGGCACTTTAAAAAAAAAAAGAATTATACCCTTCTTAAACACCTGCCTTAGGCTGCATTAGCTCCTGTAGCAGTCATGCCACCATTTATGTCCCTGAAAGCCTGACTTGCCTGACCCAGGTGGGACAGACCTGGCAGCGCCCGAGCACTGCGCAGGGTAGCACTGCTTGAGCTGAGGGAAGGACAAGCAGTAAGCAGAAGCTAGTGGAAAGATGCCACATGCAGCTAAGGGTATGTGTGTAGCCAAAAAGTGAGATGGCTTCTGTGAATTTATACCTTTCTTCGCTATTATGATTAACCTTTCCTCAGAGACACGCCCCACCCCCATTGAAAGTGGTAAGGCCACTATTTCCTTCAACCCTTGTCTATTGTGGAGGTTATAAGATTCCAGAATCAAAATATAATAGGAAGGATTTTTGCTTCAAAAACATGCCCTTATTAATTAAAATTCAGGTGACATTCAGGTGACAGGCCTCTGGAGAGGTCTTTCTCTCTCCCTTGAGCGTAGACTGAGCTGTAAAGAATAGCCCCACGTCTCAATTTTTATTAGGATGACAGGGATAATGGAGTTGGAGATGATAAATCTTATTCTCAATGCCTACCTCTGTCCTGTGCTCTGTCTGGCACAGACTAAAAGAGTAGATCCTCCATTCTTCTGGGCAGAGAAAGCAATACTGCAACAAGTGTAAAAACCCACAGCCCAGCATGCTGCGCATCTTTTTGATTGTTATTCCCAAGTTTCTGAGGCAGTGATATGCAGTTTTATTCAAAAACTCTGTAACATTTACAGAGTATATTGCAAGTGTCATAATCACCAACAAAGGGAAGTGGCTGGAAATTTCTTTTTATTAAAAAAGAAACCCGAAACAATACCAGAACCAACTTTGTTACTCTCTGACAGTTTTTAGGAGAGCTGATATAATTGCATTAACTTGCAGTAGGTACAGCAGAGATTTCAAAACTCGTGTTGAGAATCCCAACGAAGAGTGGTATTTTTCTGGTCTTTCCTACACTCTCTCACAACAAACACTTACTGGAAACCTGGGAGGTGAACGAGACAAGTATGTGGAGGAGGGTGCACAGCTTGCTTTACCTCTTTCCTTCAATCCTGATAGATTCCCAGGACTGACATCTTGCAGCATTCTCTGACAGTGTCACACAAGAACTCTCCTGCCTCAGTTTACAGCCAGGTACAAAAGGAGGTGTCGTAAAGCACAACTGCTGCTTGGCACTGACTGAGGATTACCCAAACCCTCTCCATTCCTTTTACACTGCGAATACTGTCAATTCCAATCTCCCCTTGAGCACCCAGCTCCAACTGTACTGATTCAGGGCTGCCATGTAGACGTGCCAAGAAATGTCTTTGTGTTCTTATGTCTGCACTTGCTCCTATTTCAGTTGAATATAATTTCTGAAAGGTAGAGCAACCTTAATTCACAAGGGTTGCAGTAGTTGCAGTGCTGATCCCTTGCTCATCCATAATGCAGAACTACAGACTAAAAAAAGACTTAGGCTCCAAGCACTCCAGTCTTGGCACAGGTGAAGTATTTATTGAAATAGAGCTTCTGCAGCAAAACTCAGATCCCAGAAATTCCAAGCTCAACTGATTTAATCTCAGAAGCAAAGAATCCAGTTATAGGTATGTCTTCAAACTAACACAAAATGCCAAATTTGCATTTAGTTCATACATTTTCTTCTAAAATGTCTTCACGTAAGAGGTCACTTAATTATTTTCTCTTAATTTCCAAAAAAAACAAACCACAAGCATATATCAGATTTCAACAGAGCAAAGTACATAAAAATGAAAAGCAATTGTGTAAAAAAATCCAAAATCGAAATAAACAGAACAGCCATTTTGTCAGCAACAGCTTTATAGATGTTTAGAAAGTTAATACATAAACCTTTGATAATCAATAGTCCACATGCTCTGTAAATAGTTACTGTAGCATCCTCCTTACCCATTGCTTCAGAGTACTAGCCTGGATAATCTTCCCTGGTCCTTTCCTTTTCAAAGTGCCTTCACAACCTTCAAGCACCTCTGCCATTTCTCACATGCATTTCTTCATATTCCTCAGTAGGAAACTCAGTTTCATAATTATTTCTTGATTCAAATATCTCATTTTTTTCTCTGAGATCCTTATTAAGAACTGATTTTTTAAAACTATACAGTATATTGAGATAAATGGATAATGTACAAAGACCCCTTCCTGTTCTGCGAGTGATGTTGCCTCGCTGTACCCTTGCACTCTCTCATCGGTTTGTGTCTGCCTGGAGTGTCTTATCCTAATGTTTAAACCACAAATTTTCTGGGCGGGCACTTTGAACACCATTGTCCAAGATTACAGCCTAAGAATTAGCAGACACAAATAAAAATAGCAAGAAAAAGAAAGTAACTGCACAAAAGCCTGTGGAACATCAAGCAGGAGCATTTTGGAGCTGGAAATGTGCTGGGCCTAAATGGGACAGACTCTGCATCTTTATTTATTCTCATATTAATCTACGGAGGCTAGATGGAAATTATGCATGCTAGCTGTATCTAGTGGCTGGGAAGCTACTATTCAGATATCCTAAACTGGAAGACAATAAATGGAAGGAAAAGACATGGGATTATAAAGTTTCCATATTTAGAAGATGCAGAAGGGGTAGCAAGGATTCTGTGCATATAAGCTTTTGCTGAAGTCAGTGGAAGCTGGTGTGTAAAGAAAGGAAGAGGTCAGGGATTTATGATTAAGTTTAAAAGTTAACAAAAATGAAACCTACAGCCATAATACCCATTTTTTTCTAGTCAATAGCATCATTTGAACAAAAAAAAAAGGCAATAGCTTTATTTAATAAAGCTTTATTTTAAGAACTTGAAAAAATAATGAATACTCAACTAATACTGCAAGGGCATCCTGTGATATGTTATCTAAAGGCCACCAACTTCAGGCTAGTAATTAGCTCATTGACCTATGAATTCTTCAATGCTTGACAATATAATAAGGTATAGTTCTCATTTGGAGACAGCAAGTATTGCTAAACTAATAAATACTAGTTTATCAGTAGAGCAGATCTACCTGTAGACTTTATAGCTGAGAAGAGGATAGGAATAATTTCTATTCTCTTTTCTATGAGAAAGCTGATGCACAATCAAGTCACAAGGAGAAACAGAACCAAAGTATCATAATCTTCAATTCAGTGTCCTGTCCCATGGATGCATGTTCATAATATCAGCTGCTTTTGAACACCACTATTAATCCTATACCAAAGGATTCATATAATGAGAGCCCTTCAGATATACTACAAATATTTTCCTGTAGATAAGTTTAGAACAGTTATTAAATTCCAGAAATATTTTCCTGACTGTGTACTAGAGTAAAAACCAGGAACCTCCATATATGAATGAATGGCAGAGAACACCAGTCTGAGTCAGACTCTTACCTTGAAGTCGTTGCATGACATTGGCAATATCTCTAGATCTTGCTGCTAGTCGGGATGAGGCCATGATCTCTTTGCAGCGAGTCCACTTCCCCTGACAGAAGTCTCCCTTCAAGCAGCTGACTTTAGCGAGATGAGGATCTCGGACAGCTTCCTTTTAGGGTGCAGCCCTCAGCCCTGGCCTGGGGCAGTCCGATGCCTCCTGTCCAACATCAGCCCTTGCAGGGCTGGGGAACAGCACTGGCGAGCAGCCTCAGCACCTGAGAAAGAAAGTACCAAGGCTTAGAGGAAACTTTTACCAGCTCTGCAAGACTAAGAAGTCTGAGTTTTAATAGCTTTTTTAACACATAAAGAGGCATACTTTTTATGCATACTATACACCCTAGCCAGAGACACAATTAATGCTGAAAGCTTGCCTGGCAATCACCAGCAGAATGAAGCTGCAAAAACAAATCATTAAAAACAATTGGCAGTGCACCAGACATCAATGCTTTCCTGAGGATGCTTGTGGATGTTGTTTTAGAAATAACAATACTGTTCTACATATTAAAAGTAATACTGTAATACTTCTTAGCCTAAATAATATTAAGCATAAAGGAGGAAAAATGAAACTGCATGTGAAATCTAGAAGCTGTACAACTCTCATTCTATTTCACCATGCTAGAAAAGAGCATGTACTAGTAACTCATAGATCAGGATAATCCCTAACTCCACTGGACTATGTGCTCTAATCTGAAATATTGAGATTCACATACTTTATTATTAAATAAAATTGTATTTATATTCACTTTTCTAGTGTATAATGATCTTGTATTTTGGATCATTTAACATTGAAAGCTGTGAACTAGAACTGCTACACGAACTTAACACTTGTAACTATAATAAGATCTGTGGGACTATAAATCTGGTCCAAAAAAAATCAAATTAGATACTTCAGATAAAGTTGACAGTAACATCTTATCTTTTAAGGAAGATAAATACCTATTGTACATGTACCTATTATATATGTGTGGACCTGCTTCCCCATTAAGAAAGAACTGAGTGTATAGACACCAAAAATAATTGTATTCATACTATACACACAGGGTGTATCCCAAATTCAAGTTGATCAACATCATGAGTGTGAGTGGGTTTACTGGTGTTGTGCACTATCCTCTTTTCCTGGCCCCAAGGTCTGTCAGAGAAGAGTCCTCCAGCATCAGGCAGACAAAAGCCTTTAGGCTGCACAGCTTTAGGCAAGTTGAACTGTCCCAAAGGAGCTTTGTCAACATGTAAGGGCTGCCAGAGGAAATCACATTTCAACATTTCCCTTTCTGACCCTTCAAACCCTGCCTGACCCGAGGAACTCCCTGCTTTCCCTCTGGTTTATAGTATGTTTGCTTTCTATTTCAGATACATAAAGCACTGCTCAGGTCAGCAGACCCAAGCTGTCTTTAAATTAGTGGAGCTGAGGGAAGCACACTTCTGATGGATAAAGGCACTGAATGGACTGTAAAGTCCACCAGTGTGCACAGGGTGAAATCTTGCATGCTGGGGCCAGACTGGTACCAATCCTATTCCAGCTGCATTACTGCTAATTTTTCATAAGCCATCTGGATGCTCATATCCCCACTCTCTTCACACTTGTGCCTCCTCTCTCCTTCAGGGGCCTCCTCCCTTCTTTCCAGGCTTTGCCCTGCACCCTTCTCGAGGTGCACAGAGACTATGCATGTCAGTCACCATTTCCCAAACCTGGAAAGGCACCCTGGCAGCTAGGAAGCCTCACCCTTGTGACAGCTAGGCACGAGAAGGTGCCACCATCACACCTCTCAGATGCAGCACCAGCTGGGGCTGATGGTCCCCTGGCACTGCTAAATCGCCTCATAAAGCTTCAGCAACCAGAGCTCTCTTCCACAGCGGACAGCAAAGAGCACCTAACTTGATGGATGGGGAGACGGAAGAGGTGGGTTTCTGTGAACTTCATTTCCTTTGAAATACTTAAATGAAATATCAGGTTGTCTAACCCCATCCAAACCAGAAATACTTGTAACAAAGTCCATTAAATGAAGCCCTGTTTCTGTTGCAGTGGCACTGCTAACATTTTGAGCAGTACTCTAAAAGTGAGGTACAGCAACTTCTAATAGCAAGCTGCTAGACTAATTGTTGGGCAACAATAAGGGGTATTAAAAATGCCTCATCTGATTGGCTTTTGGCTAACAGAAATAACAATATCAGAATACCAGCCTACTCACACCGTGACAGAGCTGGTGTAAATCAGCTGTACATTAGTAGATTTAGAGGAGCTGTGGAAGATGTTGATCCTCCAACTCCAAGTTAAATGTGTCTGGGAAATTGTAATGAAGATATGGATTCAATCTACTCATACAGCAGGCTGAGTCACTGTTCAGTGATAAATGGCAGAGTTGCAATTAATAATTTATCCAGCTGATATTAAATTATATGCTGCATAGGAAGGATCTGCAGTTCTAAATATGGCTCCTCATTCAAAAGCTCCTTTGCAAGCAGTGGGAATTAACTCATTTAAAGAAGACACTAAGTTACTACAGGTGGGAAGGAAAGATTCTCATGTGCAATTGCACAGTGACCTTCAAAGGCAGAAAACCACAGCTCAGAGCACAGTGAAGGTATTGGTGTAATTGATGAAATGAAGCTTTACGCACCCTTCTTGCCTGTCTCCAGCCAACATCTAAAGCTCCACAGAACAAGAAACCTACATACTCATTCAGCTGTTCAATGTAATGCAGAGGCAAAATTTCTTCTGGTTTCTATGAACAGCTAAATCTTGCAACAAAAGATCTTTTATCCTG